TACCTTGTAAGATTTATGCTTTTTCCTATGTAGTGTTTATGGAGGATGTGCTCTGTCCATTCTCACTTGGTGTTCGGCATACAGGAGAGAACATACCACCATTTCCTTTCCTGTTAGTTGCCCTTTTGAATTACTCTGCTGATTGATGAGTCTTGCTCTTTATCTGGTTTTGGCTTTGTATATTTTCCCTTTCCTTAGATCGCTGTGCTTTCACCAAAGGCCTAATTTGAGTCAGATACCATCCCTGAAGGCTTTGTTCCATCTTCTGATCCCCAATGAATACATTTGAGGTCTTGGAATTGACTATGTGCCCTAGTCTTTCAAACATCTTATGACATAGGAATTCACATTCATGAATTTCATTTGGTCAAATGTGCTGTGACAGTAGTCTCCTAGCCAAGAACTAGTAGTCACGCTGAAGTTTGTTCAGTCAAGCCAAATGGTTTTGATCTCATTACCCTCGAAGATCCTTGGAATACTTTATTCAGGAACCAGCTGGTTAAAAGGTCATGGATAAAGTGTTCACTTTCACCCTCCTTTTCTTCAGATCTTGCTATTTGTTCTGAGACACCAAGCCCACCTGCTTAGGGCATCTTATTCAACAGACCCCTCAGCACCAGGATCATGTCTTATGTCACTGCTGTTTAACCCATAGGCCGCTCTTGATGCCATATTTTCCTCAGTTGCCTTGGCTGTTCACTTTAATTATCTGTCATGAATGCCAATCACAAGAGCCACCAGGGAGGCGCAAGCATCCACAAAGAAATCTTCCCATCGAAAATAGCATGGGAATTCTTGAGAGAACCCAGTATGCATTCCCCTGGAATCCTCTCTGTATCTCCTGGAGGGATGATGTTTTGCCTCACCTGTTGACCACCTTGAGCTATATTGCATGGGTTCTGTCTGGGACTGACATTGCTAAAAAGCAATATTTGGCTTATAAAAGTCTTCAGTTCATTTTTTCAAATTGGACTGGTAAAGATGGTAGGGAGAGTACCAAACCTCTCTTCTGCCTGTTTTGTGCCTCCAGCTTTCACATCAACTGGGATGTGATTGCTGCATCATCTGTCATCTTGGAAGCTTATTATACCTTATGCTTGGACCTGGATATGGATGCTTGGGGTATTAACTTAAGTTTGCCTCCCTGCTACTTCCCGACTAAATGTTTCTGTTCTTTTACAGGGTTCGTTCTCAAATTCTTTCTTTGACAAGAGAGTAACCCTCTCTAATCCAGAAGATCTATATTCCTATAGCTCCTAATTATACAAAGCCTGGTTCATGGAAAGAGTGCTGTAGCAGCTACTTTCTTATACTCAGGCAGAAAACTTTGGGTTGGTGCTAGATCTTAGGCTTCTGCAAGATGAACTGATGCATATACAGTTTCAAGTTCTGGATTGTGACTGTACTCAGTACCTTTCCCAGAAGTTCAAGGAGAATGGTTCAGATTTCTCAAATGGCAGGATGCTTACTTTCTCTCCAGTCTATGGATGTCTTGGATGTTATTGTTTCCTCTGTCCATGTCTTAGCAAACATTTGCCCAGGTTCTAGTAGTTATCACAATGCATCTTCACTGCAGAGGCATCTGGTTCCTTTATCTCAGTGCCTGATTTGTGAAAGGAGTTGTTACAGAACAACTTTGTGAAGCTTTCAGTCTTTCTCCTTAGATTGTGAATGTGAGACAGCAGTACCTCATTCCCACTCTGTCCTAAGAATTTATCGTAGTAATCAGTTCTGTGTGTTCCAGTTGACTTCAGTCTATCACAGGATGGCACAACAGCCTGCCACTGCAGAACTTCTTCTCTTGGAGATCTGTGTCAATGTGTACATCTTTGATGAGACATTTTCTTCCAATTTGAATGTTGTGCTTTGGATGCTTGTGTGACCACCTTTAGAGTCTAGTTTCTTGTTCATCCTTATCTAGGAAGTTGGCTTGCTTTGTGCCTATTGCCCTTCCCAGAAGAGCAGGGAAAGATTCAGGTCCTTGCATTGGACATCCCCATATGGTGTTTTCTTCAAAGACTAGGTTTCTCTGGAAACCCTGCAAATGCTTTCCACAATGGTGGTAGGCGCATGGTTTATCCTAGCCTTTTAGTATTTTTCCTAAGCCTTCATTCTTCTAGAACAGAAGTTATAACTAAAGACTGTAGTGCAAGGAGGGCCCTCTTGGTTTTATTCTCATGGACCCAGGCCTTTTAGGAAGACTTGCTTGCTACAAGAAGATCCTGGAGTTTCGCTATTGGCACACAGTAAGAATCAACTGGATATCAGTTGCATACAGATCCACTATGAAACAGTGACAGCGGAACAAGAGAGCACTTTCTAACATTCATCAGGCACCTTTGGTAGTAGCCTTCTGTGGTGCAGGCGTCTGACATTCTTCTCGCATTCATGCTGTGCTGGTCTTGAAACATCCAAAGCTGAATCCAGTCTTTGGTAGGGCATCAGTGCGGTCATTTGTTTGCACAGTAGGATTCTCATCCTCTGCCAGAAATCTCATGGCAGGGCTAACTGCCAAGAGTCACCATCTATAACAATGTACATGTGGACTCATTTGAAGAAAGAAAGCTTTCTTACCAGTAATCAGTATTCTTCGTGATGTGTAGTCCACATGTACATTCCCATCCCATCTGCTTTTCCCTTCTCTCTAATTCTTTTTCAGATGCAATGCTGTTGAGAAAGACTGAAATGGTGGTAGATGCACTCTCTTATATGTCACACATGAAGCAGGAAAAGAAGAAGCAAGAGTACAGGCTCTACAGATACTGCAAAAGGAAAACCTTGCAGTATCACATGGCAGGGCAGAATTATGCCTGCTGTTAGAATGTACGTGTAGACTACCTGTATCATACATTGGTTACTGGTAAGTATTTTTTTTTACTTGGATCAGGGTGATAGGACTGTCCTTGGGCTTCATGGATGGAGCATCATTTGAGAACTATAAGCTAATCTGTTGGTTCTTCCATGTTTGTGAATGCGTTGAGGACTGTAGTATTTGTGTATGCCTACAAATTGTTGCACTTTCTCCAGTTATTAACACTTCTCTCTGCATCATTGCTCAAGCGTTACATATGGAGTTCTGAGATTAACTCAAGTAATTTCCTGTGGTAATAAACTATTTCTATTCTGTTTCGATTTACAATTAAGTTTTAATGGCCTTTTTTTTCCAGTTTCTCCTCCTAGATTGCAAAATGCGTTTTTTGCATGACTAACTGATATTTCATACTGTATAATTTCATTCTAACCTTCTAGTTCCTATGTATAATTTTCAGCAACTGAAACTGTTGTTCTAATTTGGACTTGGACCTGTACCAGAATTTGAGTGGCATCTACTTATTTAGTCACCAAAGGTTATCGTTGCATAGTTCCAAACATTTTATTAATAAATGCTACTTGTTCTGATAGATAATTTTTATGAAACCAAGATAATTTAGAGGTTGATTTACTGGTAGGGTGAATTATTGTGTCTCCTGTTCAGAACTAAGTTGTTGAAAACTGAAGGCTTCTCTGAGATTTGAGAATGTGCCTATGAACCTGTTCTGCTGGCAGAATTCTTGGTCCATGCTTGCAGCAGAGCTGGCTTTATCATGTATTAGTGTTCAAGGAAATGTGCCACTTTGCATTCATGATTTCTCTTCATGCTAGCTGAACAGCGGTAAAAGTAAGGGCTATCTGTGTATCACTTAAGATTGGCTAAATTAGAAAAAAGTAATACAGTCCTTCATACTGGAGGACAAGACAACTGTTGTAAGCCTTATCTGGGCTTCCCATCTGACATTGCCAAAATATTTAAAAGATCCTGATAGAAATAAACCAGAAATAAACCAACTAAATAAATTTCTGATACCTCTGGGGTCTCATGGTTGTTTTCTTTTCTTTAATATAGTATGCATGACAACAAAGTACTCTGATAATCTGAGTCGGAAGCAGATGCAATGGGAAAGGGCAGTACATTAATTTATGGCATAGTCTGTGTTATTTTTCAATGGCTCTGTTTATTTTGTGTTTACCCAGGTAGCCATTTTGATTTCTTTATTAATCTTGAGTGCTAAGCTAAACTTCCTTGCTACATCGTGCCTTCTCCCTCCATATCCTTTTTCCTTTCCCTTTCAGACTAGGAAAGGACCAATCCAGACTGCTTAAGAAAGGGCTCCACTTAGCCAGAGAAACCTCTAAAAAACAGTGGCTTCAGGAGTAAAATATAACCAGTGGCCAGAGCAAAGCTCAGTGTAGTATTTGGTTTGCAAGTATGTATATCCTTGATTAAAAATAAGGCAATTTCAGTGTAGGAAGACTTCTGAGATTTTAGAAGAAAATTGGTAAGCGTATAGCGGTAGGACCTTTGTGAAATACAATCCTTTTAATGAGTTGAAGAAGGTCATCATACTGAGGATAGGGAAGAGATAATATGTAGTCACAGGACTAAGTTCAGTAAGGGACAACTCTGTGAGATGAGTTGTGTGTGGTCTCTAAATAATAGTTGGCAGACTGGCCTGCTTTAAAAGAACATGAAGCATAGCGCAGTAAAATCATTGACCTGACGGTGAGAATAAAATAGGCTTGTTTTCTCTCCATTTCTAATGTGTTTCTCACATAACTTAAGGGATGATACTATGAATGTCAAAGTGTGCAATAAGTAAAAGGAATAATGGTATGTCTATAATTGGTATCTTCTTATTTTTCATCTTTATTCTCATATATGTTTGTACTTGATCAAACCATCTATCTTCATGTTGAAAAGCAATTGTCACAGTTTTGGGTTCAGTTGCAACTGATGCGTAGGCTGTGAAGCACTGTAAGAAAAAAAAATTGCATTTGCAAACTTGCATCTTTAATCTTGGAGAACACATTACACAGGCTGTCAAAAAGATAGAGCTCTCTTGCATGTTGTGGTTTTGCTGTAGCTGATAAATCTTTATCTGCCTGTCAGTGGCAAAGCAACTTCAGTGTCAGCTGCTGAAGCATACCAATGCTGTGATTCTGTGTTCTTCCTCTCCCTTTAGCAAATGTGTGTGTTGTGAAGGTGGATGGGACTCCTTATCTGTGTAAAGCTGATGAGGTTGGAGAAATATGTGTGAATTCAGGTGCAACTGGGATGGCATATTTTGGCCTCCTCGGAATCACCAAGAATGTGTTTGAGGTTTGTATTTCTCTTTGCAATATAAAGTTTCATCGTTACATTTCTAGTATTTCTTCTTGCAAATAAACTTACACATTTCTTAAACTTCCTTTTTTATTTTGTTATAAAAAGCCATGGCCAAATACACTTTGCTTCATTCTCTATCAGAACTCAAAATTCTGTCTCTTATAAGCAAAAATACAAAGTACCATCAGCAGTCAGTCAGCTGCGTCTATATTCTGCTGTCCAGTGTTGTGCCTATGTTAGCATTTAAATACATCTTAGTTCTGTATTAACACAGCAGTCTTCTGTAAAGTTACCTGAAGACATTTCAAGTTTATTGGTGCACAGCTTGGGACGTAGAGTTAGAATCTGGTCTGATATTTGCAAGCTTCTTCATATAATCAAAATGCATTGGTTAAGATATAATAAATTATTTAGAAAAGCTTCCTTTGTGTATTGCAAACAGTATGTGCTTTTCAAAATGAACTTTAGCATTGATTTACTGTAATGCTTAGAACACTAAACAGTTTGCTGTTGGATATATGAAATTATGTTCCTAAGTATATGGAAGAAGAGATAGTAAGGTTGATAGCATAACAGTCATAAGCCTTGTAGTTTGTCAAAGTAAAGCAAGAGCGATCTTTCTGCCCAGATTTTTCCTCACAATGGTGCCCCAATTTCATGTTTTCACTTTTCTGGCAAGAGAGTCCTTTGGGAGTCGCACACATAGTAGTGTTACGCTGGGCAGCAGTTTGAAGACTCGGCTGAAGTATGGAGTTCTACCAGAGAGATGAAAGAAATCCTGACCATAGTCTTCTCTTTCAGAAAAAGCTCTTTCTGTCAGCTTGCCAAGCCTCAACACTTGAAACAGCTTAGCTTTCAGCACTGTCCTTAGCTAGTGAGAGAGCCAGCAGGAAACCTAATGTAATGGAAGAGTTGGGGGGTGGGGGAAAGGCAAGGAAACTACCGGAGCAGATGAGAGGAACTTGCTGATGAGCTTAATGCTTTTGCTCTGGTTCTCCGTTCTAGGCAGTCCTGTAATTGCAGCAAACTTAACTTTCTCAAAGTTCTGATAGGGTAGCGTTTGTCGCAATTGAAGTGATGTGCCTGGGTACGTATCTCATCAGGGATGTTAATAGTAGCAACAGAAAGACTTTCTGATTAAGTGCCATATGAGTGCATACTATAAAACCTGTTTTAAAAAGCAGTGTGAACTCTTGTTATGAAGGCCAAGCAGCTGAGAAAAAGGTAAGAAAGAACGCTACCACAGAGTTAAGAATTGGTGTGTTCTTCATTATTCAAAAAACTGTTGTTCGCACTTGACATGATAGTAACTGTTGTCATTGGGTAGTTTTTCAACTGAGCGTAGAGCTACAATGAAACAGAGGCAGAAAGCATTTTAACTTCACTTTTCTTATCAGTACTCTGAGTGTCTGAATACTTACATGTTTTTTCAGGCCATTCCAGTGACGGCAGCCGGCGTGCCTGTTTCAGACCAACCCTTTACAAGAACAGGATTGCTTGGCTTTGTGGGTCCTGTAAGTGTGAATGAGCCATCTGGGGCCCTGCTTTGTCCTGACTCCCAACTCTTAAGTGATGCCCCCAAATTCAGCAGAATTCTGTGTCAGGGTAGTGAGCTCATACAGATCTTGAGAATATTGTTGGCTTTAGTGAGGCATGTATCGCCAGGACTCTGGAGGTTTTTCCCGTCTATTTCTATTCCTGTCTTCTTTTCAGGACTATTTGGTGTTTGTGGTAGGAAAATTGGATGGCCTAATGACAGTTAGTGGCCGCAGACACAATGCAGATGATGTGGTAGCCACCGCATTGGCAGTTGAACCCATGAAGTTTGTCTATCGGGGAAGGTGAGTATATTGAAAACTTCACCACTGCTGATTGGACCTTGTTGCTCCTTTTTCCAACTGCAAAAGATCAACAAGTAACAGAGGACCTCTGCATGTGAATTTTTACATGTGTATTTTGTAGGAAAAGTGGCAGTAGGTTGTGATATGCCAGGTAAAAACTTGGCTGTCCCTGCTAACTTGGAAGATGAATGTTGACACCCTGCTTCATGCATAATAGATTTAAAATTACTTTTACATAGATCTTTAAGCATCTGTTCAAAACTTCTTTCAAAGCTTCTCTTAAGACAGTCAAATGAAGCTTGTATGCCAAATGTAAAACACAACTCCCCTTTGTCCACCTGAGCCTTTCATGCAGAGTGGCCCAGGGAAGAACTTTGCAGCACATTCTAAAGAACAAACTAGGAGCGTTGAAAGACCTCAGATAGTACGTGTTGTATCACCAGCCTTATTGCTCTTCAGTGGTCAATGGCTCAATGTCCAGATGGAGAGCAGTGATGAGTGGCATCCCTCAAGGGTCCCTATTTGGGACCAGTACTGTTTAATATCGTCATCAATGACATAGTGGGATTGAGTGCACCCACAGCAAATTTGCAGATGACACCAAACTGGTGTGGTTGCCTGAGGTACAGGATGCCATTCAGAGGGACCTAGACAAGCTCTAGACATGGGCCCATGTGAACCTCACGAGGTTCAACAAGGCAAGTGCAAGGTCCTGCACCTGGGTCGGGGCAACCCCTGGTATTACTACAGGCTGGGGATGAAGGCATTGAGAGCAGCCCTGTGGAGAAGGACTTGGGGGTACTGGTGGATGAAAAGCTGGACATGAGCCAGCAATGTGCACTTGCAGCCTAGAAAGCCAACCATATCCCGGGCTGCATCTGAAGCAGCGTGGCCAGCAGGTTGAGGGAAGTAATTCTGCCCCTCTACTCTGCTCTGGTGAGACCCCCCCACCTGCAGTACTGCGTCCAGCTCCAAGGTCCTCAGCACAGGAAAGACATGGACCTGCTGAAGCAGGTCCAGAGGAGGGCCACAAAAACCATCAGAGGGATGGAACACCTCTCGTATGAAGAAAGGCTGAGAGAGTTGGGGTTGTTTAGCCTGGAGAAGAGAAGTCTCCAGGGAGACCTTGTGGCCTTTCACTAATCTAAAGGGGTGTATAAGAAAGATGGGGACAGAGTTTTTAATAGGGCCTGTAGCAATAGGACAAGGTGTAATGGTATTAAACTAAAAGAGGGTAGATTCAGACTATACATAAGAAATATTTTACAGTGAGGGTAGTGAAACATGGGAACAGGTTGCTGAGAGAGGTGGTAGATGCCTCATCCCGGGAAACATTCAAGGTCAGGTTGGACGGGGCTCTGAGCAACCTGATCTAGCTGAAGGTGTCCCTGCTTATTGTAGGGGGGGTTGTACTAGATGGCCTTTAAAGGTTCCTTCCAACCCAAACCATTCTATTATTCTATGAAAGTGGAGCTTTCCTCATTTTTACATCACTTGCGCAATTCACATATGATAAAAATAATGGCACATACCTGGCTGAGGCATTATTAATATTTTATCCTAGAAGATGCAAGCCTAAAACTAATTTAATTCACAAATAGGAGTAAGTATTTTTCAGTGCAAGCATTGATAGACATGCTGGTCTGCAATTTGGCATAGTTGTCTTTCAGAAGGGACATTGTATGTAGGTGCAACAAGTTTAACGTGCATGATGGAGTTATATAGGCAAGGTTTGCACAATCCCTGTACGTATGGAACCTGCCTGCGTCAAACACGTGCTACATTGGTGACTGCAAATTCACTTGACCCCCAACAGAAATAAATTATAATAATGAACCTACATTTCTTCTAAATTTGTCTGTGATTTTGTGATGATCTGGCATGAATAGTGTTTGTGTGTGTTGAAACAGTACCATTAAAGGTTGCAGTCATTTCCACATTATAATAAACCATGCTATGTTCATCATATGTTGCATCCTATCATTCTTCTGTCCTTTGCGTTTTAGGATAGCAGTGTTTTCTGTGACCGTTTTGCATGATGATCGAATAGTGCTTGTGGCAGAGCAGCGCCCTGATGCGTCAGAGGAGGATAGTTTTCAGTGGATGAGCAGGGTTCTACAGGTAGTCAGTCTGTCCTTTCTCTCTTTCCAGGTGAATAAGGCTGATGTATGAAATGACAATATTAGAGCATCTTTTTTCCATAAGAAAAACCCTATCAGTGTAACTACAGAGAGTTGTAATAAGCTGACTTTGGAATGCATTTCAGGGTTGATAGTTAACAGAATTTTGTAAAAAGTAAGACTTTCTTTCAGAATGTTTTTTAACTTCCTACTACTAGCATTCTTAAAGTCCTAAGGATGATAGTTTTTGTTTGTTTTAATTCAACATATCTCTGCTGATTTCGTACTGGCTAGGAGAGTTAAGTCTGAAAATGTTAAAGGGTCTACTTCGTGCCAAGTAGCAAAACAGACCCTGAAATCTTTTTATGTCACTTAACATCCTTATCCTAGATCTCCACCAGTAAGCATTAAAAACTTTTTCCCTTGATTACTTTATTGTGTTTCCCGGGGGGGGGCAGGAGGGAGGAAAATTCTGGTAGATTTGCATTTGAGGATTTTGGAATTAATCAATCGGTTCTAAGGAAGTAAAAAGTGAGAGAGCAATTATGGAAGAAGACTCTGGTGAAAGCACTACTGAAGGGAAGGCTAGAGAGAACGATTCATGGGAATATTCCTCTTAAGAGTAAGGCAGTTGTGTAATTATGGTTTCTGTCTAATTTCAGCTTTGTAATCTTTTTGGAGGGAATATCTGGTAATAGAAAGGCTGTTTTTCATGGGAGACAGTATTTTTCTTTCTCTTTTTAGAAGTGTCATAGCTAAAATAGACACTTAAGTTTTAGGCGGCAAGATGTTTTCCTCCCTATTTTTGTGGTTTTATGTTCTACTGCGCTTTTGTGATTGTGCCATACATGCTAAATTTGCTGTGGTATAATTTTGGCTTTTTAAAATCTCTGCACTTTTTGCCCACTTTTAAGAGACTTTCCTAATCCCTAATGTGCAGGTGGCATCCCCTTGATAGAGTGCACAACCAAAGTCCTGGGTCTGCTCCTGCTCCCATTGAAGTCATGGCACAACTTCTATGAGTTCAGTGAGTGCAGAATTGGACCCTTTATTTGCAAATTGTGGTGCAAGTAAAAATTTTAATGTTATTAACTGACTTGAATTCAAATTCTTGCTCTAGCTACATTCCAGGTGATAACATGGAATGTATTTTTTTTCTTTCTATCAAGGCAATTGATAGCATTCACCAAGTGGGCGTCTACTGTCTTGCCTTGGTGCCAGCCAACACTTTGCCAAAGGCTCCACTCGGAGGAATTCACATTTCCGAAACTAAGCAGCGCTTTTTAGAGGGTGCTCTGCACCCTTGTAATGTCTTGATGTGTCCACATACTTGTGTTACTAACCTGCCTAAGCCTCGACAGAAACAACCAGGTTAGTAAACCAGACATGTTCCTTAGTTCCATGTGTCTGTCGCTGAGGGTATGAATGGAGTATGATCCAGAAGCAATGTGACAGCTCAGTGCTGCGCATGTTGGATGGCTTTAAGCTGCGTAACTTGGCAGAGCTAGTGGTGTTGTCAGAGCAGCCCAGAGCTCAGTGAAGGCATTATGATCTGCCTCAAGTCCCAAGTAAATGCAAGGATGTACAGCACATACCAATTTCATGCTTCTGTAGCTACGTTATAAATTGTTCCTGTACTTGCCACCTTGCAAAGGCTCGTACTCAGACATGCTGTAACTCATGTAGTAAAACTGAAGTACAGACAGACCTCAATTTGCTGAATCAGTAATAAACTGATTTTGACTTTTAGTGTACCATACTATCATTTTGTCTCTTTTTCTGTGCAATACAATCCTTGGTTTTAGCTTTTCATCTTTTCAGATCTATGTTACGTATGGCATTTATAGTAATCTACAGGCTGAATTGTAGATTATTACATGTTCCTTACATTATTTTCCCTCATTTTGCACTGTTTTTCAAAATGCAGATGTTGGTCCTGCTTCAATGATAGTAGGAAACCTTGTTGCTGGAAAGAGAATTGCACAAGCCTCAGGGAGAGATGTTACCCAGTTGGAGGATAATGACCAGGCAAGAAAGGTAACACTGATGTCCTGATATTATTAAATATTTTAATTGGCTTATTCAAAATGAGGGAAGACCAGTTATGGTGTTCTGCTGAAGCTAAGCATGGTGCATTTCAAGTGAATCTGAGTATCTCCTTTTTTTCTGTTTCAGTTCCTGTATTTAGCAGATGTTCTTCAGTGGCGAGCTCAGACAACTCCAGATCATCCCCTCTTCCTTTTGTTGAATTCCAAGGTGAGATGCACTTTAGGTCATACTTGGAGCTTGCAATCAGTAAAAGATTGTTTGGATTCTAAGAAAATTCCAGCTAGAAGTCTTTTCCAAAAATGCTTTGGGTTATTTTGATGAAGCAGGCAAAAATTGGTAGTTAGCAAGCAGCATATTTTTTCTACATCTGGAATTTTATTCCACATCTGTTATTCCATTCTGGAATTTCAGTATGCATTCTGCCTAGCTTAAAACATTGCAGTAATTGCATTTCCTGCTGGAACACAACTTTTGTCATATTAATGGGAGCCACAATTCTGTCTTTATCCCTGAGCACAAGAGTAAGTGGAAGTCAGAGCTGGAGGATTTTTTTTAATTAAAAGATCTAAAACCCAAGTAGAGAACCCTTGTAAGAGCTTGGAGTAATAAATTTTCCAGGAGCACTGCACACCCTTCAGGAGACGCTGATGGCTTGTCCTTGCCTAGGCTCTGCCCCCAAAAAGGATAGCACTTAACAGTCACTCCAACATGAGCAAGTAAATGGTTCAGTTTTGGAGTACAGGCCCAAGGTACTTATAGGGTCTATATACTTAATATTATTCAAGGGCTGTCTGAGCCCTTATGACATATTACAAGGCAACAGTCATGTTTCTCAGTAAATACATCATTTTTGCTCATAGCCACTCTACTCTGCATGTGGCTGTCAGTAGTTTTGGAGCATTCACGTGCCCTGTGCATCCAACTGTTCATAAAGGGATGTGAGAAAACTTGCACTTTTGTATGTTCCTCAGTATTTCAGCCTCCCTGGGCTTGAGGAGCACTACTGCTGTGCATATTTCAGAAAAGTCAAATATTTTAGACTCTCCTACTGCTCTTCTGGAACTTTTTTTATTCCCGTTCTTTCTTTCCAGGAGGCAAAGCTGGTCAATTTTTGCTTGAGCCTGTACTCAGTAGCTACCCTTGCAGTGATAATAACAGCCCAGTGACAAATTGGGTCTACCTTGTGCTGTGCTGTGCTGTACTGCAGACATTTGAGATAGGGAATGTGCTTTCAGAAGGTCCAGCAGCAGTCCTTGGGAAGTGAAGGATTTGCCTTTGGGGGTCTCATTCACACAGGCAAAATGGTTTAGGATGTGTGTCAAAGTTCTGCCTTTTCTCATGAGACTCTACTTCCGTAGAAGAAACTGCTTCAATATGGTTATTGTTAAGAGCCACAGAAATGGTTTATTCTTCTCTCAGAGCAAAGAGGCTTTTGATGAAAGTCTTCTAGTATGAAGAAGCCCCTTTCTGGGTCACTTTGTTCAGGCAACTTTTACCCTTCACAAGGAGACTGCAAAAAGGAAACACAAAACTGCAAAAAGGAAGGCAGAAAGAAATTATCTCTTGGTGAACATGTCTTAAATAGCTGGAGACTAATAAGCTACCATGCTAAACATTAGTGTGTTCACAGGTCTCCATGAGAAACCCTTTTGTTTTACACCTTTTCATGTCAATATTTTTCTCCCAAGTCCTGGAGCTGCTACAGTTCCTGTATCAACAATACACAGTATTTCCTGTTCTTATTTTGCATGACTTTAGCTCCCAGGCTTTAACAACAGTTTCCTTAGTAAAACTGAGCAGAGTGCCAGTGGCATCCTGCATCAAACTAGGCCTTGGATCAGACAGCTGTGCACTTGGGGTGAGGATTACATGTGGCAGTCTTAGACTTGAAACTGGATACTTGTATAGCAGACATTTGCTGTGATAATCCTTATCTGTGTAGTGGGAGGCTTCATTCAGTCTCTGACTGTTAGTTTTCCTCTAAGGTGGTTGTCCGACCAGTTTTTCTTGAATGGGATTGTAGTCTTGGAAAACCAGATACATCCCAACCTCACAGGCTTGAGGCTAAGGCATTGCTTCTACGCTGGATAGCAAAAGGATGTTTTCTGTCTTCACATCAAAAACTGGACTAAGCTTTTTGGAATCCCCATGGCTTTGCAACTGCCTAAGCAATGCAAAGATACAGCTGCTTCCATGTGAAGACTTTCCAGATGCATAGTTGTGGGAAAGACACTTTCAGTAGATGCACTGAAGCAGAAGTGACTGCACACCAGCCACAGCTCAGGTTGCCTCTCTGACCCTTTAAAAGAGTATCTATACCAAAGACATCAACGGAGTTCCCTTTGCGCTTTTAAGACTGCTGATTGCAAAAGCATCTAGAGGTTTGGCTGTGTGTGGTAGGGTAAAGCTGATGCAGTGCTTCACTTGCTGCTAAAACAGTTATGCTACTACTACTACTGTATTTTCTCCCTTGGACTGTGAAATTTCAAATATTTGTGAGATAACTCTTTTTGTGGTGCCAAATACATTTAGAAGCTGCTTCAATGTCTGATGTTCAAAATAATACGTATAAAATTCTCTAGCATTCTCCAGCAGCATGGTTTCCAAAGCACTGAGACAGACTCATTAAAAGTTTGCTGTATCGTTAAAATAAGGACAATGAAATATTGTGTCTGCAGCATGTACTTGGTAGAGGACAATTTGAAACTGAATAAAGTTTTCTGATGTTGCTTCTTTTTTGTGCAGGGCACTGTAGCTAGCACTGCATCATGCATACAGTTGCACAAGAGAGCAGAGAGAGTGGCAGTTGCACTGATAGAGAAAGGACGACTGAATGTTGGTGACCACGTGGCCCTGGTTTATCCTCCAGGTAAGGCAATACAGACAGCAAAAATCAAAGTCAGACATCACAAGAGAAGAAACAACTCCTGCCAAGATAGAACATTTAATATAGTGGTATATGGCAGTGACTTAGTATTTCAAGGAAGAGACTTCCTTTATGTCACTTTATTATTAAGTTGCTTCTCCTAAGTGGCAAACTACATTTACCAAACATTTCATCTAATTGCTCCAGATGTCTGGGCAGTTATGCAGGAGTAGTTTGATTTAAATGACATGAAAGAGTCTCAATTTTCAGCCTCAGAGAATGGAATAAAACTGCATATGTATTCATTGAAAGCTAGATTAGGGATGTCAGTGTATGAACACCCTTTCTTTCCTGAATGGCTGTCTCTAGAAGTGAAATCTGGACTCCAGACTTGGCATTACTAGTGTGTTTTTACAGGAGTACCTCAGGAAAAAAGTATTACCTCATAAAAGTAGGATGACTGCATATTTCAGAGTGATAATTGTGCAAAACAAATGGATGCTTTTTGAAATAATCTGAGTCATCATCTTCATAACCTACAATACCTTGGTTTTTTATTTTTGTTATTTTCTACTACCTGTCCATGAAAATATATCTCTACAAATTTAAAGTTTGTAGGGTTTGAATAATTTTTACTAACTCTCACATGCAAAATATTTTAACCTTATAGAATTGGGAATGGTCAAGAACAGCCTGTTGATTTGAAGAGACCTTTGTGACAGATCCTTATATCTTAACAAAATAAATCAGTGTGTAGTTTGATTTTGGTGAAAGAGTTTGGCCTTTTGTTCTGATAATTCTTTATTTCACAAACACCCTTTACAGGAGTAGACTTGATAGCAACTTTCTATGGCTGCTTATATGCCGGCTGTATACCTATCACCGTTCGCCCACCTCATCCACAGAACCTTGCTACTACTCTGCCCACTGTCAAAATGATTGTAGAGGTATGTACAAGACATTCCTCTCCTAATGCTTTTGGTGGGTGTAGGATGATTATCACAGCCTGATAAATTGCTTTGCCGCAGTCAATGTAAAATAAGCTAGGAAAAAAAAATCAGTGTGCTGTGGCTGAGTCAATAAATGCTTCTTTCAGAAACTTGTTTAAAATATTATTTCTATTGCTGTGATTTATTTTGCTTTGTTTCCAATGTTTTTCTTCATCTATTCAGCTTACTGGTTATCTCATCTGGACAGATATGAAATCACTTGAGCGTTCATTAACTAATTTTATAAATGTTTTCAATGCTGTGTCTTTTACAGGTCAGTAAGTCTGCATGTATACTGACCACGCAAGCGATAATGAAACTGCTGAAGTCCAAGGAAGCTGCAACAGCTGTAGATATTAAAACATGGCCCACTATTTTGGATACAGGTACAGAATGTTTGCCCACTAGCCAAAATGTTAATACTTTGAAGTGTTTGATTTATTTATTTTGTTACACCATAACTGCCTAATTGAATGGATGTATCTTGCATTGCATCGAAGTAGCTGTCCAGGAACTATAGAAAGCATCTGGTGTTAATGCTGTAAAGATACATTTTTGTCCTGTGCTCTTTTTCCAAAATAATAATATGGTACTCTTTTTATTTATTTTAAATAGATGATATGCCTAAGAAGAAGCTGGCTAGTATTTTCAGACCTACATCTCCAGATATGTTGGCATACTTGGACTTCAGTGTGTCTACTACTGGTATATTAGCAGGAGTAAAGGTAGAGTAACAAGAGAGAGATTATTATACTTTGTTTCCTTATATATAGGCATATTCCATATTCATTCCTTCTGCCAGAGAAGAAATACAAATATGTAAGTGGACCATCTTAGTGTTCAGAAAGCTTATTTTTAAATTTGCATGACATCAGAATTTCTTGATGCACTTTTTGGAAGCATTCAGTCTTACTGCCTCTATGTGAGGAATCACCAAGGGGACTAAATGGAGAGTGTTTGTTATAAGGTTCATGAATGTTTTCTCTTGCGATTTATCATAGAGATGTCAGATGTTATTTGGCATCATTCGATGTCATGACAGATATCACTTGCCACTAGCAAGAAAAGTACATGTGAAATTTTGGGCTCGTATCCCTTTCCTGTTTTAAAGGTGCTTAAAAAAAACCCAAACCGCTATGTGTTGCCATGTCTTCTACAAGAAACATTTCTGTCAGTTATTACATGTGATACCCTTTTTTTTAAAAAGTCTCTGAGAGTGCCTGTTTTCCTCTTACAGATGTCACATGCAGCTACAAGTGCCTTATGTCGCTCTATAAAGCTACAGTGTGAGTTGTACCCTTCACGTCAGATTGCCATCTGCCTTGACCCTTACTGTGGCTTGGGATTTGCACTATGGTGCTTGTGCAGGTATGTTGTTTGAGTCGTAGGCTTTCTCATGTGTTCCCAGCCTTCTCTAGAATAAAAGGGAACAGTTGTGGATGAAACTGTCAGAGAAACCCAAATTAACCTTTTACAGGTATTTCATAAAATACCTTTTGTGGTAACAAAACTCATTTAGTTACTCGAGTAACTTGAGTTTTGCAAGTGGAATTAATTAGATACCAAATCCAAGAAAAAAACGGCTCCGCTGTCTATTTTCCATTGATTAAATAAATCCTTTTAATGTCTTTTGAGATTGAACCATACCTTTTTTACAAGACCATTAAGATGTTGACTGCAAGATTGGTATGCACTATGAAATACTGCTGAAGGAAGCAACTGAATGTTTCTTATAATGAATGAGACCTGAATTGATTCAATCAGATAACTACTATAATGCAACACATCTTGCAAAGCTGCAAAATTTTCCTCTTTAAAATACCTGCCTTTTAAAACATTCCATATGCTTTAATTAATCCAAAGATTTAATAGTGTTTTAGATAGTTCATTTAAAAAACACAGAAACTGAATATGAAAGGTTATTTTGTAAACAGATAACATTAAGTTTACTGTAGTTAACCTTTTCATTGCCTCTCTAATTTCCCCAACTGGAAAGGAAGTGTCCTGAAGGAAAGCAAAAATTTAACTTAGGTAACATCTGATTATTTTATATCATCAATAAAGTGAGGCAGCATGGAGGGAGAAGAAATCTCAGTGATGGAAGAATTCAAATCTAAACAGATTTTTAAAAATATTTTTAGGGAAGGGAACTATGTGTGTCATGCTTACTATACAAGAGTTAATATAAGGCCTGCTGTGTTTCATCTGAGTTATACCTTTGTTTTAGTGTGAAAGACTGCTTTATTACAGAATGATTTTTTTTTCTATTTTAGAATGTTTAAAAAGAAAACAAAAAACTCCTCATCGTATTGCCCACTACAAAAACACATCAATTCTAGTCAGGAGAAGTGGCAAGCTTGTCAAGCTACCTGTTGAAAGCAATTAGAGATGCTGTTACTTTTTTCAAGATCCATTGGTTTATCTAAGCCTGGTTTTACAAAGGGTTGTGTCACTGATTTTGTTGATAGTAACTGATCCAAAAAACATTTGGTAATTTAAGACTGTATGGCCATGGCATTCACTGTCTTGAAATGAGTATATAATATTTTAAAAAAACCCAAACAATTAAAAGGTGGTGTGATTCTGAATTCGACTTTCTGTCCACTGATGTTAACTGGTATCCGGGTTAAATATTTCACATAAACACTGTTTAAAAGCTGAGTCACCTCCAGCAAAGGCTAGAAAATTACACTAAAAACTTGAATGGTGCAATATAGGTGTTAAAGACTCATTTCACTTGAAGCAAAAGGTGCATTTTCCCTAGAATGACTCACAAAATAAGCTCAATTACCAATTGTTATCTGTAACTAGAGTGATGCCTCAAATGTCAATGTTTTAGTGTCAGAAGTTCTGTCTGTTCAAGGCATTGAGTATTTGCCTATAGTTCAACACAATTTACTGCAGGACAAATATACACACCTTAAAGTTTGTGACTTAACTCAAACCCATAGTTCTTAGCTAACTAAGAGATACTTGCTGTCTGGGGAGAAGATAAGCTGAAGTTCAGATAGATACCAAGCTCTCAGTTTTCCTGTATTTGCTTCATTTTGACTTTATGTAACTTTTGGCTTTTTTGTGCTGGCTTGAAGTTTTCATGTTTCTTTTTCTTCCTCTCCCTAGTGTTTATTCGGGTCATCAGTCTATTCTAGTCCCTCCTCTGGAACTGGAGAGCAATGTGTCTCTGTGGTTGTCTGCTGTAAGTCAGTATAAAGTGCGCGTCACGTTCTGCTCGTACTCTGTGATGGAGATGTGCACCAAAGGGCTTGGAACACAGACTGATAATCTCCGGGTGAGTGGACTTGATTTTTCAACATAGTGACATATAAATACATGTATCTTTCTAAAAATATTTCATTTTGGCTTGCAGAAGATGGGCCCATAAGTGTTTCTGTGAAAGCCTTTCATTATGACTTGCTTTTTGGGAAATGTTGAGATTGCTGGAAGTTTCAGCTCTCATGTTTCTGGTGATGAAGAAAAGAAGTCTTATGTTTTCAACTTTACTTATTTGTGCCACCTCTGTGCTGCTGGGTATTTCTGAGATTTTGGGCAAAATACGTAGCAAGCCTATCAACTTTTTCTTGTCTGAGACAAAACAAAAAAAACAGACAAAACCCACATCAAAAAAGAAAAAAACTCAAAGCCCCAGCAAACTCCAAAACCAAAAAACCTCTCCCCCAAAAAAACCAAAACAAAAAGGCCCCCAAAACCTGGCAAGTCTCACCTGCTTTCAGATCACTTGACACCAAAAGTTCTGAGTTCTAAAATGAACGTATTCTTCCTAACAGCAGCAATTACTTACACACTAATACGTCCATCTCTTTTTGAAGGAAATCTCTTAACTGCAACTTAATTTCCTAGAAGAGGCGCCTCTGTCTCAATGGTAGGAGAGTTCCCATGGCTGTAGTAACTAGGCTGCTCAGGACTTCCACTGGGAATGTCTGGCAGCTTGTTGCGCACAAGAAAGTGGGTACATTGTGCTTATTCTCGGTATAGACAAAAAACTCTGTCCCTCTGTTCTCCTGCACCTCACTGAAGGGAATCCTGGCCCACAGCCAGTTGCTACAGGTTCACATTCACACTGATGAGAGCTAATAATGTCTCAAACACTCTGCTTGCATCTGAACTGCGCAGCACTGGGAGCGAGCCAGTCTCGTGTGAGCCCACCCTGTGACAGAAAGACATTTTGTGTTTTTCTCAGCTCGAAATGATGAGTGGCTGTGTTGCAGCTACATGATGTGAGTAGTTTGCATCTTGGGCATCAAACCCTGCCACAAAGCTTCTTGGCACAATTTTAGTGGCTTGTTCTGTGTGGATGGAGCCAAACTGAGTGCAGTCCATGTCTATATTGTTTAACCAGTTCATGTCAGTTACTCTAGTGTTTTTAAATGCCATCTGTTCTGCAAATTAAAATGGCTTATTTCCAGAATTGTTGACTTCAGACTTAAAATGTTGTTGTTTTCTTCACCCAACCTCTCAGATGAAAGGAGTTAACCTGTCCTGCGTGCGAACATGCATGGTGGTTGCAGAGGAGAGACCAAGGATTACATTAACACAGTCTTTCTCGAAGTTATTCAAGGACCTGGGCCTCTCTGCTCGTGCAGTGAGCACTACATTTGGGTGCAGGGTCAATGTAGCAATTTGCTTACAGGTGAGATTAAACTGCTTATCCCTTATACAGAATCTCTGGGAACTTTATAGGAAATCGTGTTCAGCTGTAATTATGTAATTTTTTTTCTAATGAACTAGAGCTCCATGGCCTGCTTGCTTCACCACCAAGTTAAATAAGCCTTGAAGATGTGGATTATGATAATTTTACTTCATTGTACTAACTGACCAATTGATTTGCCTTTCTAATACAGAGAATCAATATTAAGAAACTTGTTTCCTTCCTACTATGCAGGAGCAGTATTAAATTAAATACACAGCTTCCTGTTCATAAACATATTAAATATTTCAAGCAGTGCTATTTCAGCTTTTGTGTGACTCAGATTTTGTCTGTTTGAAAATAGCTTATGTATATGTGGAATTAAATAGAAGACAGAGTTCCTCAAGTAAGACCCAGGAAAACTGACAAGGTTGGCAGGTTATTTTTACTTTTAAGGCTCTCAAATGAGTATTGCCAACATGTAAATACATTTGTCTCGCCTCTTGTGAGAGTTGGACTTTTTTTTCAATTAAAGGTATAAAATTGGAAGCTTTGAGGGGGTGAATATGCCCATAAAGTACACAGCCCTACTTCACAGACTGGAGACAATGACGTGCTATGGTCCAGACCCACCCTTTGATAGTTCAGTGTTCAGTTGACTATAATCTTATATGTGTAATTTAACCAGATTAGATCTAACTTTTCTTAATGAGATGTTTCTTCTCTAGTTAGGAGAGGGAAAAAAAAAGTATTCTACAACTTCCCTGAAAATCAGGTACTAAGTATGGTCTAGAAAATGGCAAAGCATCCCGGGTTTTGGATGATACTTGAGTTAATAGATAAACTGCTCAAGTTTCAGATGCGGCAGTTATGTAGCTTTGTATGTGGGGAATTTCATAGATGGCACATGCATTAAGTATGTGTGTAATTGTATGCTTTATTTCCAATTTTATTGGTATGAATTACACTTAATAAAAAAATGTGATTCTATGAAGATTCCTAGTGTGCTTCTGCAAATCTCCGCCCCCCCCCATTTTTTTTTTTTTTTTTCCTTTCTGGTGCCCACTAGATGAAGGAAAGCCTTTTTTCCTCTCAGAGTGTATTTTAATGTTATAGATTTCCTACAGAAGAGATGTTTTGGGCCATGAGCTTTTTAAATATGTTGCCATTCATAATTGTTTCTTTAGTTTCTATAGTTTCTTTCACACATATTAAAGGAGAAAAGGTTTTCAACAACCCCTAGATAAATGCCTATAAAGAAATGCGTCCAGAGCAATTTTACGAATCAGCAGATAGAAAAATAGGAAGGATATAGATTAAATTAAGATGAATGTAAATTAAGATTTTAAATTCATTGAATAAAACATTTCAGATGCCAAGTGTGAAAGAACAGCTTTCTCAATTGCCTATGTAAATAAGAATTTTAAAAGCCAGTTTTGGATGTTTGCTGTTCAGACTGCACAAAGGGAGGAAAAACAGTTTTTCTGCAGAATGTTAAATGGCAATGTGAAAAATACTCCAAGAAAACTGTGAAGAGTGTAGGGCTGCTGGGCAGTTAAGCTTCCCCTTCATTTTATACCTTTTTCATCTCTGTTCTCCGTTCTTGAGCCCTTTTTTAGTGTTTTGGGTTTTTTCCAACCCCTTTCCCCCATTCTTCCAAAGTGATATCTGTATGTGACTTTTTTAAATCATTGAATTTAAATGAATATAGTTGAATAGCCAAACAGAATGGGTATTTGATACAAGTTAGCATGCAAATAAATACATAATGTCTTTCAACCTTACTGGACTGGTTTACTGAGAAGGTGTTTCTGAAGCTGGAAGCAGCATTTAGATACTTAGAGATGGAGGAGGGATTTATGATAAGGCAACAGGTATTTCATATGATCTGCCTTGAACCCCTTCTCATTTGTTAACTGGGATTTGCATGTTTCCCAATGAACCACTTAAAAGTGCCAAGCTCTTAAGTAATCTGAAATGGAAATTTTCTTTTCACTCTAAAACAGTATGAGTTTTGTTTTCTGTCTTACTGTGTGTATCTTATGTTTCCAGTGCCTCTTTGTTTGTATTTTCTTTTTTCCCCTTTCTCTCTGTTTCACACACTTTGATGGCCTCTGTTACTTCTGTTTGTGGTCCCGCTGTCAGCCAAACAGGCTGGGCAAGCTGGCTGAACAGGTATAGTGATGCATGTGTGCTTGTAATGTCCTAAAGTCAGTCTCGTTCAGCAGTGTTACTCTATAATGAATGTATGCCATTTGAGAGAGTTTTCATTTGAAACAGATCAAGTGAGATTTTTTTTCTAAAGATCAGTTTTACTCACAAAGAACACCTGTCGCTGAAGTACAAAACCTTCTCAAACAAGCCAGAAAAGGGGTTATAGCAATGATTAAAATTACTGAATGTTGTATTCCTAAAGATAAAGATCATACCGTTAATCTGGTGTGGCCGTCAGTGTCACTGAGCCTCAGTGGTGCTATGGAAGTACAAGGAATGTCATTATAAAGACGTTATTATACTATTCTCTAGCACTGCAATCTTGAGCTGATGGCAAAGTGGCCTCATTTTAAGTATTTCCAAAATGAGAAACTGTGCCGTGGGGGGAAAGAGTCACCAAAACTTTGCCCTTTTTTTTAGCTTAAATATGCATTTCACAGTAGTTTCTAGTTTTCTTGAGATTAAATTCTGCTGGGGAAAAAAAAAGGTCCCCTGTTCCCACACTGGGAAATGGGAAACCACTCACCAGAGTTGGTCAGCAGATTTATCCTCTGACTGCAACAGAGCTCTGCCTCTGCCTAGGCTGTTACTGGCAGGAGCCTTGAGAAGATATGTGTTGGTTAGAGTTATGTTTTACTTAAAGGTTGGGTTGGGTTTTTTTATTCGAAGTTGACAAAACTGTTACAAAGTAGAACAGTTGAGCTTTGGGAAAGGAATTAAATTAGGCCCACATGGGTTTATGCTTGCATAATTTGCACTTGCTATGTAGTTTTTAGAGGAGGTGCTTACCAAAACAAAATTTTTAAAACTTACATTTTAAATTTTAAAATTTTAAAACCTTAGACTTACTTGTATAATACATACTTCACTTGTGCATTCATTTACTGATTCCATAAAACATCAAAGCTTTATGGCAGTCACTCTAGAAAGGGGGGCTATTTTACTATATTTCTGGTAGATTAGGGTAGTACTTTTTAAGTATCAGTAAAAAAGGGAAAGGAATTTGTGAATTTATGAGAATGAAAGCAGGATTTTCTGGCTTCTGTTGAATTTGTTTCTTCTTTCTTATTCTTAGGGAACAGCAGGACCAGATCCAACAACGGTCTATGTAGATATGAGAGCACTTCGACATGACAGGTACAGATTATGTTAAAGCATTAACTATTTAATGACTGTAGAGGAGAAAGTTCAGCCTCATTGCATTGCCTTGGTTTGTTGAAATATTCTTGGCAGCAGCTAATCCCTCATCACTACATACATGCAACCCCACCCTAGAGAATGACAGCTGTGTGCTGGAAGTGGTCCAGCATCTCCTCCTCCATCACTTGTTCTGCTGTTTCTTTCTAGACCCTCACCTAACTTGCTGTCTATTCATCAGTCCTATATAACCTAGACTCATTAGCCGTTTCTTACCTAACCGTACTGTTAGCAAAAGGTGACTTTGCCAACTGGCTGGTTAGTCACAGAATCACAGAAGCAGTTCGTGTGGGCAGGATCTCGGGACATCCCTCATGCAACTTCCTGCTCAAAGCAGGACCAGCTTCAAGGCTCCTTCAGGTTACTGAGGACCAGTTCAGTACGGAAAATCTCCAGGAATGGAGATTCTCCTCTCTGGGTGTATGTGTGATGGGAATGTGCATCATTCCATCAGACTTAATTCTGTAGTCGTAATTTTTGTATTAACTTGTCTCTCAGTTAACTTAGTTAATACAAATGTTGGCCACACCAAGTTCAGACTGTAAGTTTAGTAAGGTACATGCATATATGTATTTGTTTCTGTACTTATTTTAAGAAACATAATATCAAGACTTGGTGCATTTGCTTTATTTTTTTTAAATGATAATGTTAAATTAGGAGCTTATGTTAACTGGCAGCTTTTGTGACTACTCATCTCTAATTTTTGCAAGCTTAAATCTTAGCTGTTAGAAGACAAACTATTCACCATCATTTGCATGACCCCAATTTGGCATCTGAACAGATCAATGTAAAATACAGTTATTTTCTCCTTATTTAATATTTTTCTCCTTATTTAATGACTTGCATGGTGTATATATTCCTGTTAAAAACAAGTTTGGCCATAGCCTCAAAGTTGCCACTGTGTTAGTTCCAGCCTATGGGTGTCGGTATAGTGTAGTATGACACAATGTATAGGAGCCTCTTCTCTTTTACGCCTCTCCTACTGCACTCAGTTCTTGTTCCTTCTGCAAATGTGCTATCTTCATAAGTTATGCTACTAATGGGCTGCATGGCGTCACTTAATTCCATTTAAGCTGCTTGCTCTTCACTTTTTGTAATCCTTACTTGATGCTCTGCCATGGTTCAGTGTGACAAGCAGAGGTCCAGGAGAGTCCAACAAACAAGGTGAATTTGAAATGCTGGTGGAACTGCAACCTTAGAGCTCTGTTGGAAGAAGTTACTTGTCTTTCCAGAGAGCTGAGTTTCTGATTCTTAAAAGAAGTGTGGTCTATGGGAATGCTAATATGGAAGTCTTGAAGACAGCTAGAAACTCTTAACTGTCTTACTGCATTGTGAATAACTGAGCGTAATTGGCTGGCATCATAATAGTTTGGTCAGTGCAGCTAAGGATAGGATAACACTGGATATACTGGAACACATCTATTTAACTTCTATTTAAGTTCATAAATCCTTGTACAAATGTATTCTCTTATTTTCTCAGGGTGCGTTTGGTAGAGAGAGGTTCTCCACACAGTCTGCCACTTATGGAGTCTGGGAAGGTGAGAGATTGAGAGCAATCCTTCCTCCACATGACCCTTACCTGGGTGGTGAGCTGCTTCAGCTGGATCTCAGCACAGAATGTGTGCAATGAGCTTCACTAATCACAGTATACCTAGGAGAGGCACTAGAGAGAGCATAAAATGAACAGCTAGGTAAAATGAAGCCAGGTGCATGAAGTGAAGCAATAGGATATGTTGCTACAACTGAAGAAATCAGAGGCCTTCATGTGGAAGGCATTTTTCAGATGTGAAACAAACTTCAACTCTGAAGCTGCAAAATAGCAGCTTAGAGTTTAAATGATTAAACAACTTGGTAGGAAGAGATGGTTGGTATCTGTGGTGCAGTGGGGAGTAGAAAGGGAAGAATTGCACGGGCTGTTGACTTCTGGGGCTCTGCATTATTAACTTTCCTTTTGATGAATTCAAGTTCTCTTAACTTCTATTTGCTTCTTATTCAAGATTCTTCCAGGGGTAAAGGTCATCATAGCACACACGGAAACCAAGGGACCCCTGGGAGACTCGCATTTAGGAGAGGTAAAGCTTTGATCCTGTTGTACTTTGTTTATCAGCAGTGATTTAATATATAGATAAATCATGTTAGATAAATGCGTGTCTCTTAGCGGGACAGCCACATAATGTGGCAAGTGAATGAACTCTACAGAGAGTTGGAACTGTTTGCATGCTTGTACGTATGTCTACATGGTTTCCTCCTTCCTCTGCCAAACTACTGCATGCCAGTGCCAGGGGATACCAGTTGACTAGTCTGTATCCAATTGGCAGCTAGAAGAGGCAGTGAATATCTTATGTACTCCCATCAGTGGACAGTAGTAATGAAGTAATTTGCTGTTTGGTTTAATCCTTGTTTTATATATATCTGGATTTTTTTATACTAAGATGCCCAACTAATAGAAGATTGCACGTTAACAGGTGTTCATTTCCAGTAAGCCAAATGCTTAGTTCATTTTTCCTCTTTACCATCCCCAATTACATGTATATAAAACTCCTTTTTACTCCTTTTTCCTGGTCATTTTCTGTGAGGCAGAAGTTAATGAATTATTTTAATAAAACTACTCCTGGCGTTTCAGGAGCAACAAAATTGTCAGTGGAACGGATCTTTTAAATCAATAAATGATGCTGCCTGGCTCTGGCAAAATAATCTATGTTTTTACGGGAATGATTCCTTTTTGTTTTGTTGGGATTTTTTTATCCCCTAGATATGGGTGAGTAGTCCACACAATGCTACTGGTTACTACACAGTGTATGGAGAAGAAGCACTGCACGCTGATCACTTTACTGCTCGCTTGAGTTTTGGAGACACTCAGACTGTATGGGCTCGGACTGGGTACCTTGGCTTTCTGCGCAGAACAGAACTTACTGATGCTAGTGGAGGTAAGAGAAAACAAATGTACTTAAAGCAGCATGTGTTTGAAATTCCTTGGGGTAGTGAAGAGTAAGCTGTCCTGCAAGTTTATCCTGACTTCCATCAGAGAAAACTGCTGGATGTAACAGGAATTGCTACTCTGTACATATTCATTGATTATAATGATACTGGGTAATCGTGCAAAATGAGAAATTCATAATGCCCTTTTGACAGATTTAGAAACCATGTTCATCTTCCTTTATTTCCACTTAGACAAAATAATAATACGAGCACATTTGTTAGAAGCACTAGAGCCTTTCTACTCACTTTTCCTCTGAACCTCTTTCCTTACAGACAGGATGCAGTATTTCAGTGCTGATCTAGAGAATAAAAATAGTGTTGTCATTCAGCAGTTTTAGGACATGCAGAAATACCGGTGATTTCACAGCCTTTCAGAAGTTAAAGGTCTAGAGGAGTAACTTCTCCATAATTTTTCCAGTATAGAAAAGAAATTGTTAATCTCATTTTTTCAATTGAAGCCAGGTTGTCTAAACTTGAGAAATGTAAGCAGATGGAAGAAAAACTACTCCTTTTATTGTTGAAACAGAATATGGAGTAGGTATAACTCTTGATTATCAGACATTTAAAAAAAAAAGTTCTCTCTAAACATCCTAAGAAAAGGAGTTTGCTTATAACTTATTAGCAAATGTATATTGCTCATTTTCTGTGATAGGACTTAAATGAATGATGGTATCTACATGGATAGTGTCAGTGTCCGCTCATTGCTGTTACTGGATAATGAACTGTAGGAGATTCACAGACACCTTTTACATTCCTGTAGTCCCTCATGGTATACGATAGAAAAGCAGTGTTCCCACTTCTGGAACATTAAGTGTCTGTTTGGGGGACACCATGCATGTCCATCCTACTTTTAGTCCTCCATTATGTGAAGGAAGAAGAGTGAGTGAGGAGAGCAATTTGTTGAAGGTGCAGACTTTTGTTGAGGAGCTACCCCATCTGTTACAGTGGATACCAGTCCAGGGTTCAGAAACAGTCTGTGATGTGTAACACTGTTGTATCTAGTTGCTAAGAGAAGGTCATCCTCCAGTCTACTGTGCTGTCGTGCTCTTCAGTCTCCCTGGGGCTCTTGAGAACAACAAAGGTGGATGCTATTGCACTGGCTGGAGAAATTCGGGCAGCCCGCTCAGTTCCATCTCCTCGAGAGCTCCATCCTGCAGGCTTCCCTCTTCCACAGTCAGAGTGCCACCAGAGAGCAAAAGGTGAATTTGGGTAAAGAAACAATCTTCATCAGAGATGGGTGGTATCCATATCCCACAGCTACCACCACTACCCAGAAGGGTCCTATCTTGGCACCAGGCCTCTCCACCCGTTCAACCTACTTAGTACACTGAGCAGTTCTGTGTTGGGCAGCCCCTCCTGAGTCTCTGTTCCTGAAGGAATGTGGTCTCAGGCTATCAGTGGGAGCTGATGTAACGTAGATCCAGCTCCCTGAAAAAGCTTTTACTGCATGTCATCTTCCCCTTCAGAGCTGATAAAAGATGATAAAAGAACACTGAACCAAGGTGCTCTAAGCTTCCCTTGCTTTCCTCCTCTCTGATTTTCTAGCATAGTTACCTGACCTCCAGGGCACATTGTACTGCTCCTTAGTGCAAGGTTCTGCACAGGATGCTTTGATGGAATTGTCCTTCTGTTGCTGTTCAAAGTGAAAAGGCTCCCTGTTCTTGAGAAGGCTGGTAGTTGACAGAAATTGGAATCCATGAGCAGACATTCACAAAGAGAAGTTGCAGGTGGCAAGGCATCACATTACTGTAGCAAGTTGTTGTGCCTTGTAGCTCTCTGAAAAATCATGTATCATAGAGATCACTGTGGAACAATGTCAGTTGTCTTTTGTCAGCATTTGAGAGGCTATGTATGGTGAATTAATGCATGAAGTATATATAAAATACAGTGCAGCTTCCCAGCATGGTTTTCATCTCAAGTTACATGATTGAGTAGCATTATAAAATAGGCGGGGAAAAAAAAAGGCGAAGTTGAACTGAACAGAGTTACAGGATGAACGTGGCAATGTGGAGAGTGTGTCCTTCCAGAAGGGTCTAGGACAGCTTTGCTTATTTAACCTAGCAAAGTTAAGGCTGAGGAGGGGATAGAGTTGTTTTCGCAGCATTAATAGAGGAACTTAAGAAGCTGAAAAGAATATTGCTGGCATGAGGACAAGTGGGTATAAGCTGGTTTCAAAAAGAAAAGAAAATTAAATTTGGAAATTGGAAAACTCTTCCTATTGATCAGAGGAGAGAAGTTCTCTGGTAAGAATAGTGGGACAAAAGGATGCTTTAACAATGGATTTTGATTGGGTTTATGAACTGAGATTGCATTGTGTGAGAGAAAGGGCAGAACTGGATGACGTAGAAATTCTTTTTAGTCTTGTTTCATTTGTTTTGAGTCAATAGGCAGAAGTGCTACATGACCTCTTAATTCTCTTCTAATGGTAGAGCTAGACGTGTATTAAAGACTCTTTCTCCTAGGAAGCACCAGGAACATCTTGGAACATCAGGAATAAGCACGTACAAATCACCGTGTTTGTTCTGTAGATCTGATGATGTTTTAAATGTCTGTGCTATATTGCAGAGAGGCATGATGCCCTGTATGTGGTAGGCTCTTTGGATGAAACACTGGAGCTCAGAGGAATGAGGTACCATCCCATTGATATAGAGACTTCTGTAATAAGAGCACATAAGAGCATTGCAGAATGGTAAGAGCCTTGGTATTACTTTTCTGTATCCTTTTATTCCTTCTAAAGCAGCAGAAGTCAAGCACTGTGGAACAGTGTGCTAGATTGAGAGTTTGCTGTAGAGTGAACTCACCAAAACTTTGCTTAGAAATTACTGCAGTGAGAGTAACTGAAATATAATGCCCCTCTTTCCCCTGCCCACATCACTCAAAAAACCCCCCCACGCCTTTATCAGAGTTTGATCTTCATAGTCTGAAAGACAGGGAGGGCAGGGCATGAACAGGGCAGCAGAGCACTTGCAAGTTGTATTGCTGACTTCCCTGGCTGTGTCAGAATGTACGCACTTGGATGTGGTAAACACATCTCAAGGATTTCTTGAATGGTATCGTCTAACATGTATTATTCTCCTTTGGTCCTAACGGATGATGTGTACCATTTGGCTGTAGGTGCTCTTCAGTCTCAAAGTGGTAGTGTTTACTTGTAAGCTTTGGGAGGTTTTGTCTTTCCTTTAATAATCTCTGAAGATTTACACAAGTACATTAATATCGAGTATGCACACACTGAATGTGAAATCTTAATGGTTCCCATTTTAATACATAAATGCAAAGGAATTTAAATATGATTGTGTACATATAAGAGAAAAAGACCTACTTGTATTTTGAACATGGACAATTAAAAAACAAGTGGCAGAGAATATCCCAAGAAGTTACAGCTTTAATACCTCTTGATTTATGAATATTTTCACATTACTGTTATATCACTTGTTCTCATTTCTTACATTGTTCAAGTCCTTACAAAATTTATTTCCAGTGAGTCTCTCTGATAACTAGCTTCCTGTCAATATGTTTTTTTTCCTCACCATTAATATTTGTATCATGCCGACAGTGCTGTGTTTACATGGACCAACTTGCTTGTGGTGGTTGTGGAGTTGGAAGGCTCGGAACAAGAAGCATTGGACCTGGTCGCGCTGGTAACGAATGTGGTTCTGGAAGAGCATTATCTCATAGTAGGTGTTGTAGTCATTGTGGACCCTGGTGTTATTCCTATCAACTCCCGTGGTGAGAAACAACGAATGCATTTGAGAGACGGATTTTTAGCTGACCAGTTGGATCCTATTTATGTTGCCTACAACATGTGAAAACAGAAAATCACATCAAGGCTAAAGCACCAAAATCAAGGGACTTTCCGAATAATAACATTGGAATCCATTTTCTGTGTTTTTAAAAGCTGTTGAACACCTTAGGAAAATGGAGATACTAATCTTCACAGACCTTCATCTCTCCAATTGCATTTGCTTTCATAAATCCATTGTGTAACAGTTACAGCTGTCTTAGGATGGACAGTTTACTGGAATTCCTGAAGGAAGCTGATTAGAACTGTCATGGACCAATGTTTTTTTACAATAATTATGAATGTCAGTACTTGATGCACTGCATAAAAGGACATAAAGCGGGGTGGGGAGAGAACACCAGCTGTGCGGAGGACTCTTGGAAATAATACTGAAAGTTGTGAGTAACCATTCAGAGTTCACCCTCCATGTGATTGTTTGCAATATATTGGCAGTATCTGGGTTGGGACGTAACTTTCAAGATTGCACACACCTCTACCATATTCTCTACTGTACTGAAAGGAATTTTGCACATATTTGAGATTTAAAAATGCAGGCTTTGTATTTCGAATCACTGACTCATCCCTATTCAGAAGAAACAAATTCATTCCAATCCCAGATTCACTATAACAACAGTTATGCTGCTGTTCAGCTTTTTTGTACCAAGCAAAAACAAATACTGCAACTGTAACAAGGTTACTTATCGTGCCATGCTGGACTCTGTAATGCTATAAACTTTATAATAAAACATAGATTAATATCCAGTTTCAACTACTTGATGCAGGAGCCTTCACTGTTCTTGCTGTCGTAACTTCATGTTAAAGTTGCTTCTTTTCATAGCATTAGCTGTTAATTACTGCCCTGCGTAACGCCAAGTATTTGAAAATTCATTCCAAAGCAAATAGTCTCTGAATGATTCGTAGAAATGTTTACAAAGCATGGTCTTACAATATGTTTTCCCTGAATATCCTGTGCTAAAACTTATAATAGTGATTTATTTTTTTTTCCCACCATGGAAAAGATATTCAGTGTTAGTTAGCTTGATCTGCTGTGGTACAAACTTTCATTTTTTTTTAGAGTTGTATTTAGACAGACTTTTTTGTTCAAGCTGAAGTATCCAGTTGGTTGAGTCACACTTGACTAATTAAGGTTTTGAAGTTTCTGCCTGATCTAATACTGCAGTGAACCTAATTCAGAAAGAGAATGTGAAGTTACTCAAATACTTCATGTATTTGAAGGTAAGCACGAGACTAGCAAATAATTATTTTTATAGAGTTGTTAAAGACTTTGAACTACTTAAAAATTTTTTAATAATGCATGAGTTTGGCAAAAGAGCCAGGTTTTTCTGCAAGGCAATTCTGCCTGGATCAGTGCCTAAGAAAGATGGATGTCAGTCTCCTAATACGAGGATATCAAATGACTCTTGGTCAAATAAACTATAAAATCTTCAACAAAAAGCTTTCATATATAGTAGTTCTTTGCCCTCATGGTGTTTGACTGTGGTGTATTATACAGCTGCATACTCTACTATGACTGTAATTATGTACAGAACTTGTGTAACTTATTGTTTAAGTACAGCAACCTCTAGCTGTGGACGATGGGACACTGCTTGTAACAAAACAGCTGGCAAAAGGAAAGAACTACCTAACCCCAATTTTAATGTTGTAGTTTTTTAGCAAATAAAGCATTGTAAGATTTTTGTATTGAGATAATTGATGACAGTGGGACAAGTTGCCTTGTAAAGTCAATCTGAAACAAAAAGCACATTAAACATTTCAAAACGGCTCTTGAACATCTGACTTGCTCAATGTTGAAACTTATGCTGTTAGATCAAAAACTTAGCTTCTCTACAGTACAGAGTTTTCACCTGTGTTTTGGACAGTTTAAGGCCTAGAGAGCTTTTTTTTTTTTTGCAAAATTTCATTGCAGTTGCTTTACAATTAAAGCAATTGCACATCCTCAAAGCCTGGACGTTCCTGAATTTCCCGTGTTTTCAGTACCCAAATTGAAGTGCTCTCCCAGTGCCCTGACCTATGCGGGTCCTCCCCACCCAGAACTCGTACCTGCCACACACACCGAGTTTTCTAAACTTGGGGATAAGGAGCCCAGCTGGGGGCGGGGGGCGGTGTGTAACATCCCTCCTTCCCTCAGGATGGTGCTGCTTATTTCGCACAGCAAAGTGATGCCATGAAAAGCTGAAATCAGGACTCAGTGGTCAGAAGACTATTAAGCAGGTATCCTTTACTGCAGCGCTGCGCACACAGGGGATTTCTCCTCCTATTGTGTGCACCTGGTCAGGCTAATTGCATAGTTTATATACAGGTTCTATATATGTATTCATCAGATTTCCAAGGAAAGTTTTACATATTCATTAGTTTTCCGGGAACTCATTATCGTATGTAAATGTCCTTCGCACAGGCATACTCGAGGTCTCTGGTGGTCTTCAGTAGTCTTCCTCACTTGTCCACTGCTTGAACCTCTCGGATGATTCTGCACAGTGCAATCCTCTGCACATTTGATACATCTTATCCTAAAGAGTGCTCGTTAGTGCTTCTATTATCTATGCCTACGTTTTGATGTAACCTGCATGGATACTTCTAAGCTAAGTTATCTGAGAGGGCTAAAAGTCCTTATCTTCCTCAGAAACTGCAAGGCCATCTAAAAGCAATTTCTCACACATTTTGCAACATACAGAACTTTTATCTACCACCTGTTAGTAAATAATTGGGTAAAGAAATAGCAAGGCCATCGTATTCAGAAAAACACCTTTGCATCAAAAGCCAAGGGTGGGTCTTGACAGAAAGCCCTGCTGGGTCGGCGCACTGGGGAGACGGGAGGGGAGTCAGCTGTGCCGCCAGTACAGGGACCTGCCTCGCATCGGGGGCGCTGCCCGGAGCCGCTGTAAGCCCTCCCCAGAGGGCGAGGAGCCGGGCGGCTGTCGGGCTGTAAGGCGGCCTGCGCCGCAAACGCCGGCCCCGCCGAGCGAGAAGATGGCGGCCGCAGGCCCACCCCGGCGGCCTGCACCTCGCCTCCTGACGTCACCCCCGCGCGCCGGCGGCGCATGCGCGCGGGCCACGGTC